AAGGGAGATCCAAATCTCGGGATATGTCTAGTGTACAATGCTATAGCTGGAAAGGGTTTGGTCACATGGCTCTTCAGTGTCTACGAAAAGTTTGCAATTATTGTAAGAAACCAGGCCATGTCATTAGAGAGTGTCCTACTCGTTTTCAATGCAAGATTGGAGCAAGTTATGTTGCTACTGCCACTTTAACCTCTGGTTCTACTCCGCCATCTGCTCCCACTCGAGCTCCAGGCTCTTCTGGTTCCTCTCAAACTCCCATCACTCCTGAGATGATTCAACAAATGGTTGTTTCTGCATTGTCTGCCTGAGGTATCTCAGGTAATTCTCAAACTGCTCATTCTTCTTGGTTATTAGACTCAGGTGCTTCTAACTATATGACTAATGATCCTAAATTGCTTAGTAACCTTAGACCATATAATGAACCTCTCACGGTTCACACTGCTGATGGTAANTCGGTGTAATATCTCCTACAGATTTACCCATAAGGGAATCATGGCAGGGAAGTTAAAGGGACAAATCCCAGCACAAACACCAAGAGGTTCTCTAATGCTATAGGTATCAATTCCGCTTGACACATTGGAAACATACTCTCCCATCTGCAGTGTTGCCATCCCGCAAGCATGTTCCACCACCTCTTCAAGAAAATACACACAATAATTAAGAACTCAACTGCAATGATTATAGAATTACACGCACACAAGCAAGCATGCACATATTTTATAGAGGTACTAACCTAGCCCAAGGAACACATCACCCTGTGCATCCTTAAGTGTCTTCCATTGTTCAGTGGTAATGTTTAAGGTAAGCTTATCCTAGAATGATAATTATTATAATACTAATCAGTATTGATCATAAGCAAAATAAAATCCAATTGGATCAAAACATTTCAACGTGCTAACCATGTTTTTACGAATAAGATCTTGCAGCTTAAACATAACGCGTTGCCGTGCTGTTATTGGTGTGCTGCACCAGGATGGAAAGGCCTGTTTTGCAGCTGATACTGCAGACTTGAACACCTCTTTTGTAGTTAATGGTACTTGAGAAACTACCTCTTGTGTTGCCTTTGATATCAACCAATCAAAGAAAATAAACACAAAAGAAATACTACAAAGAAATTGAATTGTTATGACATTTCATTCACTTACCGGATTCAAGACATCAATTAATTCTGATGACTGTGAATCCATAAAGCTGCCACCAACAAGATTTGGCACTCTTTGAACTAAAAAGATCGAAGCAATTATACCCCAAAAGAAAATTAATAAAAATTATATATTTCTGTAGTTTATTTTTATTCTTTTGTTTTATATTCATGGGTAAAAAGGCTTTATCTTTAACAATTTTCAGCACCCTTTTGTTTATTACTAGTCGATTGCCCACACAATGCACGGGCTGTGTTATTTTTGAGGTAATATTAGTGTGCAGAATGTTATTTGAAACGACGGGAGATATGTGCGCACCAAAAGATTAAATTCAAAACCTTGTACCTGCTTTGATAGTAGTGGTCTCTCCAATGATTCTTCACCACATTAATTTGATGCATATTCTATTTGATGAACTTCATTGCTGCTTAAAGCATTTTGAAAAAACCCACCAGCCTAAGGGGTAAATATCCTCTACGTTATCAAATCTAGATAGAATATATATCTACGAAGATAGGACTAACTACGCATTGATATGTTTTTTATTTTGAGTTAGGAGAGCAAGGATCGAGCAAATATTTTACTTATTAATAAGTACAAAAGTAAGAAGAACCAAATTATATTAAACCTAATGGCCCTCTTTAACAAGAAGTCCGGACAAAAATACACTAATAAATCGGGTGCCTCCCATAATTAAAATTTTCTTGGCGCTTGATGCTATGATAGCCAATCTTCCTTTCAGCTGCCATAGTTCAAGCATTGGCTAGATATTTTACATCATTTGGGTACTAAACCTCGGAGCTTTTATAGTCTACATCACACAAAATATATAAGATTCACATCCCAATAAGCCTAATCGAAAATTAATGAAAGATACGAAGCTCAATAAACACGCTAATGTAGCTTAAAATTAATAAAAAAATCAACGCAAGAAGTAATTCCATAACAAGATCTGCCACTTTGCATAGAAGAAATGAAAATATAAAACTCTTTCCATTTCAGAAAATAAAATCACACAAACGAAGAAAGATTAAGAAAATAACTTGAAATTGAAAACCCAATTCAGATCGGTAAACTTTGTATCTTAAATTAAATATAAATCCCAAGATTGAATATAATCTCTCTTAAAATTTTTCCAACTCCAGAGCAAAATCACATTTTTAAAACCCCTATAGAAATTGAATTAAAGAGGATAGGGAAACAAAGATTAAAATAGAGACTAACAAATTCATTAGCCAGTACCGGAAAAAAAATAAAAAATGAAATCCCAAGATTGTCTTCAATAGAAGAAGAAGAAAGAGGAAATTGCGTTTTTTCTTGAAATTATCGAACTCCAGTAAAACAAAATCATCTTTACCAAACCATAAAAAACACATTAAATTAAAAAAAAAAGTTTTTAAAATAAAAAAAATCACAAATTGCTACTTTTTCTCTCCCAGCGATGAACAACGAAGTGACCGTTAGAGACTATAATTTATGGGGTATACGAAGAATAGACACAGCAAAACCAAACTAATCTGATTAATAATTCAAATATATAATTTAATGAATCGAATCAAATTAACATTTTCAAAATAAATAATTTCAACGCTACAAGCTGTACACCAAATAGAAGTATATTCAAACAATTTCAAATCAAATTCAAAAATGAAAAAAATAAGAAGAACTTCCAATTAATGTATCTCAAAATCCAAGGAACGTCGAATGTCTCAAATTTACAGACAAAATCACCTTCAATAAATTTGTGAAAATGAATTGATAAACATTTACCTTTGCTTTGTTATGATAGTGACGACAATAAAATAGAACTGGCTCGGCTCGTGGCTCGACGAGCCACATGGGCCGGCCTCTAACGAGCCAAGCCTAAAAATATAAAAAAAGTTATGCAAAACTATAAAAAAAATAAAATTTATTTAGAGTTGTAAAAGGCAGCTATACAACTGCCTATTTAAAAAAAATCGAGCCGAGTTATTGCTTGAGCCGAAAGCTCAGGTCGAGCCTAGTTTTTTTGGCTGAGAAAAAGCTCGGCTTGGGCTAAAAAAAGTCTGAACTATGTTTACTCAAGTTGGGAGCCTAGATTTTTTGGCTGAACAAAAGCTTGGTTCATGCCAAAAAAAGTCCGAACCATTTTTACTCAAATCGGGCCCAAGTTCGAGTTTCGACTCGCAAGCTGACTCAATTTAGCTGGCTCATTCACAGCCCTACTTGGAAGTGAAACAAAAGAACAAAGAATATATTAAAAAATGAAGGAAGAGGAGAAGAGGAAGAATACCTTCGGGCAAAGACGTCGCAGTCTTTATAATCTTTTGTGGTGAAACTTCTTGGTTTTGTGGTGATAGGATGCTCTCAGCCAATCCATGAGGTGGAACAATAATTGTGGACACATTTTGCAACGTACCTGCAGATGATTTTGCTCCATATTTAAAAAAGCATCAATAAAAAAAGTGAAGATTTTAAAGTATTTAAACGCACCAGTATAAAAAATATCATGGTATAGTCCCTTTAACAAA